GAGAGGGGGAGGGGACCAAAGTAGAGACAGGGAGAAAATCAGGGGGTAGGGAAAAAAAAAAACAAACAAACCCCCCACCATTAAGCTCACCCCCTCCCCTCCACTACACCCCCCTTCCCACCTCCCTCTCTCCACCTTCCTCCTAGACTGCCTGCCACCTTTCATTATCCATATTCCTCCTCTCCCACCTCCCCCCTCTCCCCACCCCTGGAACATATGTATTCTGCAACTCAAGTCTCTCACAAAAGTCTCTTAATTCTTCAGGAAACTTTAATCTTGCAGAGCGCCCATTCTTCCAACCGATTAAACATGCTGAGAACCCCCAGCTATATCGAACGTTCTGCTTCTTTATTTGTTCTACTAATGGTTTTAAGATTTTCTTTCTTGACAGTCAGCCAGATCAGCAAAGATCTGTATATTTATTTCTCCATATTTTAAACCCCGCTCTTCCCTTCATCCTCTTCCAAATCTCATCTTTATCACTATTATGATGGAATTGAGCAATAACATCTCTCGATTTTCTATTCCTACCCTCTTGATATAATCTTCCTACCCTATACACCCCATCAATTTTATAGGGTTTTGCTGCAAATCTGTCCATTATTATATCAAACAACTTCTCTATTGTTTCCTTCAGGTCTTCTCCATGGGAAATCTCAGGGAGACCTCGTATCCTTAAGTTGCTTTTTTTCTGTTCCTATTTTCCTGCTCTTCTAATTTGTATAGCAGATTTCTTTGTTGTTTTTTCAGTTCCACCATTTTGTTTTTCTAAATTCTGTATCACTTGGGCATGCTTATTTGTTTTTCCTTCCATCTTCTCCACTCTAGATAGCACCTGCCCTAAGGCTATATGTAACTTCCCCATCTCTTGTTTTATAGATCTTTCCAAAGCTTTAAACATTTATGCTATTTCTAATTTAGTTGGCAGGTGTGAATCTTGATCTTCTATATTCTCCACCCCACCAGTTTTCTCGGTATCTGCTTCTTCTGGATTTTGACTTGTAATAGACATTTCCAAGGATAATCTGGAGCTCTCATCACTGCTGTTCTCTATCATACTCTTTTCCTTTAATCCGATTTGCCTCTCAGGGGTCTGTTTGTTCTATCCCGGTATATATTTCTTGATTGAACTAGAGGGCGGGGCCTTTTGACGCACTTGCCTTTAGTCCTTTGTTCTTCATTTTGATATATTTTTAATATCAAAAGGATTCAATCATCGACTCTTCCAACCAGTATTCTTGTTTTTATCTTTCCTTCTCCTCTTCTCATTTGACTCTTGTCTTCTATCCTCCCCTCTCCCTCATTAACCCCGCAGGAGGACTGCCATCTCACAGGTGACTCTTACCAGCAACCCCCCAACCTTTATCCATTGAAAGTTTATTTCAGCCTTCATTTTTTTAAATTATCATATTTATCACTTTTATCACAGTCTGTCATATTCACCCACCCTCCTAGCCCTCACTTCTGGAGGGTGGTAACCGAAGGTTTAACTGACATGGGGGAGGGCTGTAAGAGACGGTCCCTCTGGATCATCCTACTTCACAAGACAGGAGTCCCAGACAATGTCCTCTATGACAAAGCAAAACTTCAGCAACCACAGCAGTCCCCTATAGTGTTCAGTCTATGAGGTGAGGGAGAGAGGCGAGTTCAGGGCTGCGGATCTCCCTTAGACGGGCCGGCAGCTCCCGCTCCCAGTGCTCCTTTGCGGTTGGTCACGTGGCCGCCCGGCATCTTATGGGCTCCAGCTGTCCAGGGCTCTACATCTCCTCCTGCTCCTTCAGCTCCAGCCCACTCCACCGCACCACCAGCAAGTCGGGAGCAAGTCACCCTCTCTCCTTCTCGACTATCCCTTCATGCAGGCAGGCTGATGGAGCACTGGGGGTTGGCATATAGGTTGTATCCCAATGGAAAGTCAGTTTAGTGGTCAAAACCCAAAAGACAAAGTAAGCAATACACATAGCGTAGGGGTTAGGAGTAAGCAACTCAGAGGGGTCAGGATTAAAAAATGAAGGCTTTTAGGCGTCATGCACACTGGTTTATTGTAGAAAGTTAAGAACTCACCTACGCTGCATGTTTTTCAAACCAGTTTAGGTGCGTTTAGCAGAATTTAGTATTTGGGAGTTTATTTATTTCATTGGTCAGAATTTTAAATTATCCTGGGCATTAAAATAAATAAATGCTGAAGTGCCAAACTGTGCCTAGCATTTAGGTGCAGTTGTCATTTTAAATGTTAGTAAATTCTTGCCTTGAACGTAGTTTTTGTGCTTTCAGAGAAATGCTAGTAAACTCAGCTGCCTGTAAACTCCTCTAAATGACTATGTATACATGGGCACATAGGATAACATAGAGGAGAGTTCAGGGGCTTCAGAAAAAAAAAAAAATGCCCAACTGCTCCTAAACATCAGTTTAGCAGCTGCAGTGTACATGAGGCCTTAGGAGTTAAGAGTAAGTAACACAGATCATTCAGGGGTTAGATGTAAGTTATGCTGAATGTTCAGAGGTCAGGAGTAAGTAACATACAAAGTAAAGAGGTCAGAAATAGAAGTAATACACAGAGTACAGGATACTGCAGACATGCACCGTGGCTCAAAGCCAGAGACAAAGAGTCTTCCCTGCCGATACCCAGAGGATGGGAGTGGACATCCAAAGATAGGTGCTGCTCAAACTAGCCCAACCCTAGTAACGGTGTTGGCCTCAGCCACCGCTCCAGCCATGCGTGGCTGAAGTCAACACCATTACTAGGATTGGATTAGTTTGAGTGGCATCTGTCTTTTCATTTACAATTATTATAGACAGCACAACAATATACAAACAGTCAGAGACAAGCTCATTGACACAAAAAAAGTAAGGTGTACAGTTCTGTTGATGAAGGACATAAAACAAAAGCACTGAAATATTGACATGGAGAGAAATGGGGGGGGGGGGAAATAAAAACACAATTTCAAAAGGGATGGAATGAGACCCTAAAAAAATTGCGTTAACAGCAAATAGTAACCAATGAGCAGGTGGGCAAAGACCAAGGATAGTCACCAAAGTCACATAGAGATGATAGGAAAAGCTGAGCATAAAATCTCACTGGACGTATATCGGAACTCTACACCTAGGACTTCCAAGAAAGTTCAACCGGTGTATATGACATTACAGGCACAGTTCTCTAGGGGTATCTCAATCAGTGCATATAACATAAAAACTGACAGAAACAAAAAAATAAACAAAAAAAGAAAGGGAAAGAAAAGAGAAAAGCAGAGAAAGAAGAAACAAGTATAGTAAAGACAAAGAAATGGCTCCAGGAGAACCTTATATCGACAGGAGGGTCTGATCAAATCTAGACGGTTGAGCCACATCAATCCAAGGACGCCAGATGTGCAGAAACTTAGTGTGGGTGTCTAACAGCATAGCCGTTAGCTTCTCATTAACCATTATAAAATTAATCAGATTCTTAACGGCTTCAAAGCTAAGAAGAGGGGTTTTCCAAGGTCTCGCGATTGTCAATTTGGTAGCCATAAATAGATGCGATGCTAACTGCCACTCAGGACGGAGTATGCCTACTAGAGGTTTAAATAATAGTGCCTCATATGGGTTACGCTTAATATCTGTGTGTAGCATAATGCAGAGAAAGGGCATAGACCCTAATCCATAGTCTGCATACCTTGGGGCAAGTCCACCAAATATGGGCCATGGTACCTATTTGTTGACAACCCCAAAAGCAAGTCGGAGAATATAAGGGAATAAAGCAAGCCAGTCAGGCAGGTGTATAATACCATCTATAAAAGGACCTTGTAGGCATTTTTTAATAACGTTCCTCGAGCATTTAGACAATGCTTGAGTCCTATAAGAAACGATAGTGGAGTAGACAAGGGAGATCAAGCCTGGCGCATGAGGCCTGTGCCTGCAAAGACTTTCAAAGGGAGTCAGCCTATAGGGACCTGAATGGGCTCGTAATAATGTAGTAAGAAAGTGATGGAGTTGGAGGTAGCTAAAATGTTCCCTCAACGGGATATCATGTGAAGAACGCAAAGTCGCAAAAGTGAATATCCGGGTAGGAGAGAGCATGGAGTATATGTCATTGAAGCCATGGGCTGACCACCACGCAAACTGGCCAGGATTGTTTAGGCCTGGGGGAAAAAATGAGCTGTGGAATAGGTGCATCATGGGTAAGTGAGCAGAAATAAGACCAGAAGAATATTTAATTGAGTCCCAAAGACGAAGCATATGTGTTAATGTCGGGCTAAGAGGTGAAAGGCAATCAATAAGGGGGAGCCACAGCAAAGAAGAAAGTGGGGGTCGGATGGGAGTCCATCAGATCCACAGTGGCCTACAAGAGAATATTGCAAGATGCGTGAAGATGGACTAGTGGGGCTATGTTTGCCGCTAAATAGTATGCATGAAGATTCGGGACAGACAATCCACCTACGTTCCTAAGGGCAAATGATTTTAATAATTCTAGAGTGGGAGGAGCCCCAGATGAAAGACAGACGCTTCCGTTAATGAATGTGTAAGATATGCAAAGGCACAGGGATCGATAAAACCCAAAACACATATAATAATTTTGGAAGATAAGTCATACGGATTGCATTAATTCTTCTGAACCACAAAAACGGGAGATGCGCCGAATAAGACAACATTTCCGTCAAGTCCTTAACCACTAGCCTACAGGGCACTTATACCCCCTTCCTGCCCAGGCCAATTTCCAGCTTTCAGTGCTGTCACACTTTGAACGACAATTGCACAGTCATGCAACACTGTACCCGTATCAAATGTTTATCATTTTTTTGTGACAGTTTTATTTTGATGGTATTTAATTACCTCTGGGTTTTTTCTTTTTTCTTAAACAAACCAAAAACCACTGAAAAAAAAGTTTTTATTTAGTATTGTTATACAATTTTGTAAATACTGTAAGTGATTTTTCTCCTTCACTGATGTGCGCTAATGAGGCTGTAGTGATGGGCACTGATAGGCTGCACTGATGGGCACTGATGAGGAGGCACTGGTAGGTGGCACTGATGGGCATTGACAGGCATCACTGATGGGCACTGAAAGGCAGCACTCATATATGCCACTGATAGGTGGCACTGACTGGCATTGATATGTGACACTGAAAGGCAGCTCAGATGGGCACTGATATGTGGAACTGATGTGGCACTGAAATGTGGCACTGATGGGCACTGGCAGGTGGCATGGATGAGCACGGACAGCTGGCACTGATGGACACTGACAGGTGGCACTGCTGGGGCTACACAGATCATCAGGACACACTGATCATCAGTGCTCTGATGATCTGTGTACATGTCCCCTCCGAGGAATGCCGATTACCGGCTCTCCTCTCAAGCTGTCAGCGTGACAGCTCATGAGGAGAGAAATGCCGATAACCGGCATTTCCCTGTTTACATGTGATCAGCTGTGATTGGACACAGCTGATAACATGACTGAGCCGACATCTTCGGCTCTTTCCGTTGAGCGATGATCCGCTGTGTCCGAGGGACACAGTGCACCACCGATAGCCGTGCTGCGTGGTCCCGGAGCGACGCATGCACAGTTAAAATGGGAGGACATCATATGACGTTCTCCCAGAATGAGAGAACCGCCTTGAGCCTGTCATTGTACTATATGGCGGGCAGGAGGCGGTTAAAGACAGAGGGGAAATTAGCCTAATACAGTCCTTTGTAAGACAGGGAGATCTTAATCCCCAGGTATGGCAAGACCGAAAGCCATTGAAAAGAAAACGATTGTTTCAGAGTTGCCAGTAGTGTAGGGGAAAGGGTAATAGACATGGCTTTAGATTTAGCAGGATTGACAGAGGCCTGAAAGAGCAGTGAAGGAGTCCAGAACCGCCAGTAAGTTGGACAGGGTAACCCCTGGATTAGTAACAGACAGCAATATGTCATCCGCAAACAACGACAACTTATACTGGCAACCGGCTACATCCAGCCCCTTAATATTGGGATGCATACGGACAGCCTCTGCTAGGGGCACCAAAGCCAAGATAAATAAAATGGGAAAGAGCAGGCAGCCATGCCTAGTTCCTCTACCAATCGGAAACATCAAGGACTCAAAACCATAGTATTTGAGTTTCGCTTGGGGGCACGTATAATGCCGAATAGTGACGTATAGTGACGAAATCCAATGCAGGAACGAGGGACCAAAGCCAAAATGGTGTCGAAGGCCTTATTGACATCCAGGGATAAGAGCATCATTTTATTGTGAGCCTGGTGTTGGAACTGTAAAATTCATCTGATTGCATCCCCTGCTTGTCTATGGGGGACAAAGCCCACCTGGTCTTTTTTGATCAGATGAGAAAGGAAAGAGCTCAAACGGGTAGCTACAGTTTTTGTAAGGATTTTCATATCGACGTTAATAAGAGAGATTGGTCTATAATTCACCCAAGAAGAATGGTCCTGGTCTGGTATCAGGATCATGACCACTTAGCAGTCAGCAAGTCGTGGGGAAAAGGCTGAACCTCCTTTCACTGCATTAAACATGGCTGCGAGGTGAGGGGCCAGAACATCAGACAGTTTTATATAGGACAAGGCCATAAGGTCCAAAGCCATCAGGTCCTGGACGTTTGCTAGTCTTCAAATTAGTGATACAGCGCAAGACTTCCGATATTTGAATATCACAGTTCATCAAATCTCTATGAGCTTGAGTCAGAGTAGGCAAAGACAGTCAAGATAAAAAGTCAGAGATAGCATGGGGTTCTGTCTGAGTAGGGTCTGTGTAAAGTTTAGCAAGGTGGTACCGAAACTCCTCCAACACCTTTGCAGAATTACTTGTGTCGAGTACGCAAAGAGATCGTTTTTGGATTGTGCGTAAAAGAACTCAACCTGCGCGCTAGCATAGAGTTCGGTTTATCTGCTTTACTGTACCATTTCTGACGTGTCCAGCATAAGGAGCACTCGGCATCATCTGTTAAGCAAAGATCCAATTCCAGGTGTGCCTGGTCCAACAACCTTCGGTTGGAGGGAGTCGGTGATTGTTTAAATTGAGATGACACAGTAGCTAATTGTGTTTCAAGCTGACGCTGTTTATGTTGCCTCTCCTGTTTGCGCCTTGAGGCTATTCGGAAAATTTTACCTCGAAGGACTGCCTTGTACGCTTCCCACAATGTCACCGATGAAGATACAGAACCCGAATTGAGCTGAAAATTTTCCACAGATTTGTGTGCAGAAGGTCCTTCTGAACTTCTTTCAGCGACAGCAAGGAGTCGTTCATACTCCAAGAACAATGGGAAGGCTTTCAAAGAAGAGATTGACAGACCACCAAAATGGGGTCGTGATCAGACCATGGCACAGTAAGAATAGAGATGGAGCGCACAAGAGGAAGAGGTTTTTGTAAGACTAAAGCATGGTCAATTCTGGAGTGGGAGTGATGAGGGTGCGAGTAATAAGTGTAGTCTTTCCCCCCAGGATGAAGCTCACACCATAGGTCTACCAGACCGTCAGTCCATAAGGTTTGAATGAAAAATTCGGCTGCAGAGGAGGGGTTTGAGTCCTCTGGGGGATACTTATCAAGAGCAGAATTCAGAACTAAATTCGAGTCCCCCCGCTACCAGTAGAATGCCTCGTTGGTGAACCGCTAGAAGGGAGCAGATATGCGATAAGAAAGGCCCAGGATTAACGTTGGGAGCATAATAAGTCAAAAGTGTGACGTCTACATCCTGAATTTTACCCTATAGTAAAAGATACCTACCATACGGGTCCGCAATACGCTTCACACAAACAAATGGGTTTTCCTGTGGAAAGCAATAAGGACTCCCCTCTGTTTTGTAGTGCCAGTAGCCTGAAAAACCTGAGGGTAGTGGGCATCAAAATACTTTGGGCTATAAGTCACAAAATAGTGAGTTTCTTGTAGGCAGGCAATATCCATGTGGCGAGCCCGGAGGAACTTAAATATCTTCACTTTCTTTTGGGGGAGTTCATACCCTGAACATTCAAGGACAACCAATTAAATGACATGGCAGCAGAAAAAGAAGATAGCCTCCATCACGATCCCCGGGAGCCCTAAAAAAGATTCAGTGGAAACACAAGGTACACGGAACAACAAACCAGGAAAAAGGAAAAAAAGCAAGGAAGAAAGAAGAAGACATAAATCCATCTGTCACGGTCTGGGTCAGGTTCAGAGACCAGTTGCTATAGCAGTGTAAGGCTTACCTTAAACCAGCAGGACAGGTACACAGGCAGGTCACCCTGGGAAATCACGCAGGCTCACCTGAGGTGCGGGGTCTAAGCATTAACCGATTTTCACCAGAGCTCCGAATGGTGGAGATGGATTTGGCTGCGTGTCAATACCAGGTCGCAGATCTCAGGATCACACCACCAGGGAATGAGCAAGCCGGTAACCGATAGCGGATCAAACAGATTAGGGACAAGCAGAAGCAGAGTCAAACAAGCCAAGGGTCCGTCACAGATGGTAGTGGATGAGGATGAGACAAAATTGTGGTCAGGAACAAGCCAAAGGTCGGTAGCGGCGGTATAGACAGCAGCAGGAACAATAAGCGGGATATTGGCTGGTAAGGCACAATAATCTGGCAACCAGGAAGTGCAGACATGGCTTTTATAGGAAGTTCATGGGAGGAGCAAGGAGTTCAAGGTTCAAGACAAAACAGGGAAAGGCAGGATCATCCAAAGAATTGTCAAGGGAGCTGTCCAGCATTCCAGGTGGCTCAGTGAGAAGAAACACTGTCTCTCACTGCAGAAAGCCCAGGTTCAATTCCAGGCTCTGACACCATCTCATATACAGGTAATATACATTTGATGCAGATAGATCAGCACAAAAAGCATAACAACCAGTTGTGGGGGATAAACCCACACGTAGGCTGGGTATCGGGTAGGACAACGGTCCAATCCACACACCAGCTCGAGGGAGGACGCAATAGTCCACTGGAACTACTCGGCTTAACTAGAACAGGAAATTATTTAGCAAACAACATAGGTTGAGTTACTCAACTACCTAGTAATCATCAAATGGTGACTAAGGCTATATGAACTGCAGTCAATGGGCAACACAAGCAGATAAAAACTCCGGTAAGCCACGTGTGCGAGACCGCTCAAAGTGATCCCCACAAGCGTGCAGGGATAGTGGCCTCCTCAGTCTGGAATGGTGGCTGTCAAATTTCAGTTCCTGGAAGTGACGACGAAGATCCGCTGGAGAGGAAGCCTGGAACTGCCAGCCTTGGTAGGAGAAGGAGAACTTAAATGGAAACCCCCATCTATATTTGATATCAGCTGACTGTAGAATTTGTAGGTAGGGTCTCAGGGTGTGGCGTTTTGCTATTGTAACTGGAGACAAATCAGCAAACAGCTAGAGGGAGTTACACTGGAATTCCAATGTTGGTCGGTTTCAAGCCGCCTGCAGGAGGCGTTCTTTAATGCGGTAATAATGGAACTTCATAATAATGTCTCTTGGGGGGCCCTCCGTGGGTTTGGGGGCTCTGTAAATACGATCAAATTCCAAAAGTTCCACAGGGATCTCAGGAGCCAGTTCCTGAAAGAGGGCAGTAACAGTACCCTGTAGATCAGTTACCACTTCAGGTACTCCACGAATGTGGAGGTTATCTCTACAGGCCCTGTTCTCCATATCTTCCAATTTATCTTTTAGGGTATCCAACTCTGCGTGTAAATCCTTCACTTCCTGCTCATGACCCCCCAAAACTATAGTCGCCAGATCCATATGCTGTTCTAATTGATGAGCACGGTGACCCACTTCCTTTAGACCTTTTACCAGATCGGAGGACAGCTTGCGAGAGGCGGTGGTAATCTCTTCCCGCACAATAGAGCGGAATTTGTGTAATAAAGCTTCAGGATTGTGCTTCAAAGAACTGGTTAAAACAGAGGGGAACTGGTGTTGACTGTCCTCACCAGAGTCCGGATCCCCTGTAAGCCACGTGGTGTCATTGGGCTCAGGGGGGCTGGGCGCCATCTTGTTGGACTTCTGGGGTGGAGAGTCTTTTTGCTGGGCCCGGTGTTTAGGCTTATTGTGTGGGGTACAATGCATCATCAGGCGTAGACCAAATATTCCGCAAGTACCTGCGATCTTTTGTACCAGTGCGTGGGGAATGGAATCCTGATATGCCGTGTAAAGGAAATGACCCAGACTGCGCTTGAGTACTTCCGTTGGAATACCGCTTCCCCGTCCAAACACCAACAACAGACACCACAGATTTGAAGTAAGCCAGAGTGTAGACTAGTTTATTTGAACACAGATACAAGATATATACTGTCACGTACCTGATGGGAGACTGAAATGACGAGGTCGGCCTCACTTGTGTCACTGGCCCTGACCCCGCTGGAGTTGGAACAGAGGGAGTCTAGGATCCAGGGGAACAAGAGTGCCAGTAGTTGTCTGCAGCTCTTGCAGATGATGACCTTGGAAGGCTGATGATGCTCTGATTTTTGCACAGTAGTAGTAGGCAGAGCAGGTTTTGTAGATTGCCAGGCGTGCACCAGAGCAAGGCAGGTAGTGAGGGTAAGAGACAGGAACAGTGTCATGGATTAGCCGGGGTCATCAACAGTCGGGCAGCATGGTACAGAATCAGAAGGGAAAGCCTAGGTCAGGAGCAGAGCCAAAGTCAGGAACCAGTATCAATCAGGAGAGCAATCAGTCAGGTAAGGAACAAGCCGGGTCAGCAACAAAGGAATCACACAGGAACAAGCAGGACACGGGGGAGCTGAAGACCAGTCAGCACTGAACATGAGCAGAGACACTCCTTAAATAGGCCTTCTGGTGCCAATCTTCGCCGTGCGTGTGCGCGATCGCGCATTTCTGTGCACATGCGCACAACCGTTCTCCTGAGGGAATTCCTATGCGCATGGCATTTCCGATCACAATTTGTCTTGCTGGAAATCCCTTACATATACACTCAAGGGACAAACCCCCCCTCCCTGCATAATGTCACAGGGCAGGGCAATCTACATTTAGTAACAAGAGACACACAGGTATTCAAACTTCACTCCAGCAGACAGTCCCATCAGGAGGGAGGGCTGCTGGAGACAACCCCCCCACTAAGCTAATTCACATAAACACATACATCCCATAATAGTTTGCTCCCAAGCAAGACAAACAATAGAACAATGGGATGCAACCACATAACGCCATACAATCCAAAACCCCAAACCACCTATCTCCTAGACATGTCTACACAATATTAGGACAGATCACCCCTAACAGGCACAGGGTGATTTACACATAATAGGGATATGGGAGCTGAGACAGGGGTCTCCCCACCTCTCTAACGTGAGCTGGGTTCCATGGGCCTCCCACCCAAAGTGACTCCTGTTACATATCTCCTCTTTCAGCAGGAGGAAACCCCAGACGGGTGGATTCCGAAGTTATTCTGTACTTCCAGTACCCCAATGCCAGCACCCACACAGTTCCCCAAGCAAATTGTCCCACATAAAGCATTACTTACCCAGCCAATTTCTGCCTCTCTCCAGAACATACCCACCCAGTACGGGCTGGTCCTTCTCCCTGAAGTCCTCTGAGCCGCTGGAGAGAAGACAGGGTGGCTGGGCCGACTTCATCATGTTGTTGGGGATCTGGGCCGACTGCCCAGCATCCCTGGGGTATCCAGGTGGTGACTGTAGTCTCATTCACTTTGACTTGATGGACATCCGCCAGTGTTTGCAAAGTAAGGTTGGCATCCTCCTGTCCCAATGCCAGACCGCTTTCTGGGGTTGTGTCAGTGGAGACCGAAGTCCCATCCATGGACATCAGCTCAAGCTACAGTTGTGAGGTGTCGATTGCATCCTCTTTCTCTAGCTCCTGTGGTGCTGATTGTTGTGGGCAGAGGTCAACAATGCCATGCCCTGATGCCAGCTTTTCTGCTGGAGGTGCACCGGCTGGTTCCTCTTCAGCAGAAAAGTCAATCAAATCCCCAATCTCTGGAACTGGTGTCTGGGGATAGGGGTTCACCATCTCCTATCCATGGAACTCAGAAGATGTTACCAGTGCTGGGCAGAGTTCAGCAATATTTGGCCCTGTTGCCAGCTCTTCTGCTGGAAGCACACCAGCTGGTTCCTCTTCAGCAGCAAAGGCAATCAAATCCCCAGTCTCTGGAACTGGTGTCTGGGGATAGGGGTTCACCATCTCCTGTCCGAGTGTCACGATCAGGCTCAAAGACCAGTTGCTATAGCAGTGTAAAGGCTTACCTGAAACCAGCAAGATAGGTACACAGGCAGGTCACCGTGGCGGAGGAGTGGGATCACCCGAGGTGCGGAGTCTAAGTACCAACAGGTGTTCACCAGAGCTTCTAATGGTGGAGATTGATTTGGCCGCATGTTAGCACCAGGTCGCGATCCTCGGGATCACCCCACCAGGAGGTGAGCAAGCGGAGCTCCGGTAGCATATGAACAGGTAAGGATCAAACAGAAGTGTGGTCAGTAAACAAGCCAAGGTCGGTAAGGAGCATTCGCAGGTTGGAATCAGGCAGAAGCGTAGTCGAGAACAAGCCAAGGGTCAATAACGAGTGTAGCAAAATACGGACAACAGCAGAGATGATAAGGAGCACAATATTGGCTGGAGAGCACAATCTGGCAACCAGGAAGTGCAGAGACATGGTTTATATCAGGAAGTTCATGGGAGGAGCAAGGGGTTCAAGGTTCATGATTAACAAGGTCAAGGTAGGATCATCCAAATAATTGTCAAGGGCGCTGTCCAGCATTCCAGGTGGCTTAGCAAGAAGAAACATTGCCACTCACCGCAGAAGGCCCCGGTTCAGACCCAGGCTCTGACACTGTGAAACCCAGAAGATGTTACCAGTGCTGGGCAGAGTTCAACAATGTTTCGCCCTGTTGCCAGCTCTTCTGCTGGAGGCATACCAGGTTGTTTTTCCGCAGCAGAGAAGTCTATCAAATCCCCAGTCTGGAATTTCCACTGCCAATTCTTGGGCATGATGCTGAACATGTTTTAGCAGTTGCCTGTATGCCCTTTCCAGATGCTGTTTGTCAGGGACCATCGTGACGCATGGGTCTACACATGCGTAGGCGTCTGTCAAGACATGCAGGTAGCAGGGCACTAGGACCCAGGCGCACCCGTCATCTTGACAGTACTAGGCAGGCACTGGGACCTAGGCGGCGCCTGTCAGGTGCAGGGCGGGCTACTTAAACCAGCCCTGCACAGACGCTTGTTGCCGAATGGTCTTTTGTATCCTGTTGCCTGTGTAGTGAGTACTCTGATCTGGATTGTCTGACCTTGTTGCCTTCTCCTGTCCTGACCCCTTGGCTTGCCTGACTCTGTTCCTGGATGTTCCCTTATAGATCTGATCTTTTGGTATTGACCCTGCGTGTGACCCGACTATCCTTTGCCTATCGTCTTGTACCTCACCGACCCGCTAGTTATTGACCCGGCTTGTTTGACTCTGACTTTGCTCATCCGTCCATCCATCCCTCGGGGATCCCTGGGCTCCCTCACATCAGACTCTTAACCCGCTGGAGCCCTTGGCAGACTCCGATACCTCTGGTAGAGATACCTAGCAGCTGCTACCTGATCCTGGAGCGCTCCAAGTCCATCCTCACCATCAGGGGCCCTGGTGAACAAGTGCTCCTGTACTTAGACTCCACACTCTACAGGAGGCTCTATCAGGGGACTGATAGAGGTACTGTCAGGCGGTCCGTTACAGTACCATTCGGCCATGACTGAGTCTGGAGGAGGGCCTTCTCCCATAGAAGAGATTTGCCGACATTTGTCCGCCCTAACCCTGGCAGTAACTGCCCTCCAGGACAAATGCTCCCGGTTAGAAAATCGGTTTGACACCATGACCATGTCCGAGGCTCCTCCTCAGAGCCAGGCCTCAATTGTTAGCCCTGAGGTAGCGTCTGGATCCCATAGGGGGGCTGCGGCTGCAGCTTCACCAGCCGAACCTCGTGTTCCCATGCCTGAACGTTTTCGGGGAGATCGTGCATGGTTTAGGTCCTTCAAAAACGCATGTCTGCTGTATTTTGACCTGCAACCTCGTACCTTCACCACTGAGTCAGTTAAAGTAGGATTTGTGATTTCCCTACTACAAGACGAACCCCAGGACTGGGCCCATAGATTAAGGGAAACTCAGGACCCCCAGTTACAGACCATAAACACATTTTTTGAGGCCATGTCTGTCTTCTATGACGACCCCCAGCGGGTGGCTTCAGCTGAATCCACCCTCTACTCCCTCCGACAGGGTCGTCGAGCTGCGGAGGAATATGCCTCCGAGTTCAGGCGATGGATGGGGGACACGCGTTGGAACGACGCTGCCCTGCGTCACCAATTCCGGGTCGGACTCTCAGAGGCGCTAAAGGATGAGTTAGCCCGGGTTGGCCTCCCAGAGTCCTTGGAAGATCTGATCGCCCTGGCGATCCACATCGATCGCAGGTTGTGGGAACGCCGGTCTGAGAGGTCAGGCCAGGGTCAAGGAGTCACATGGGCACCTCCCAGGAGCACAGGTCATCTCGCCCCTACCGATGTTCCATCAGCCGTTCCTGTGGATACTTCAGAGCCCATGCAACTGGGATTGGCTCGGCAGGCCCTCACCCCAGAGGAGCGCCAGAGAAGACGCACCAGGAACCTCTGTTTCTACTGTGGAGGAACTGGACATGTCGTGCGGAACTGCCCGGTGAAGGCACGTAAGTCGTGAACTACAGTTCCCTTTTGTTCCCTGGGTAATATGAGTCAATCCAGTTACTTAGCAGTACCCCTCTTTTTTCAGCTTCCGGAAAGAACCGTGGAGATGTCAAGGTCCTACCTTTTCCCAGAGGCTATGTTACTCCATGTGCTGGCATCCATCTTGGATTTCTGCTGAGCATGGTGGGAATCTTTTATGCCTTCAGGTCTCTGAGGTCCATCTCCCAGAGGGGTGTGGCTGATTACATATAAGCCTGTGGTCTGCACATGCCCTTTGCACTTGTGTCTTGTGTCTTTGTCTTGCTACAGCTCTGTGTATATGCTCGTGACTCTTCTGGTATCTGACTCGGCTTGTGACTAAGACCATTCTCTATGTTTTCCTTCGATCTGACCCTCCGTTGCTGAACCCGGCCTGTGACCTGTGATTCTCTGTCTACTGTTCTGTACCGTTTTGTCCCATTGTTGTCGACCCGGCTTGCCTGACTATGCTATTGTCATTCCTACCAGCTACACACCATTGGCGGCAGCCATTACCGCAGCCGGGGTGTCTCGGGGGCCACGACCTGGTTCCTGGCTGCATCAAGTCCATCCCCACCATCAGGGGCCCTGGTGAAGGGCAGCCTGGGACTTAGACTCCGCGCCCTGAGGGACTTCGGCCTGTGGGTGGTGGTTGTCGTCAGTCAGTGCGTTACTTTGCTATTAGGCCTGCCTGCCCGTTCCCCAGTTCCTGCCCTGACAGGAGACCACTGCAATCATTGACTCGGGGGCCTGCAGTTGCTTTTTGGATATTGATTTTGCCCGTCAGCAGGAAATACCTTTACAGGCCAGGAAATGGGGACTTAATTTGTTCCTGGCTGATGGTTCCCAGATTAAATCGGGTTTGGTTGACCAAGAAACTCCCCCTATACTCAACACCATAATGGGCCTTCACCAGGAGTTATTACGTTTTGACGCTATCGCGTCACCCCTTTTCCCAGTGATCTTGGGGCTTCCGTGGCTAGAAGCCCACAACCCTCAGATCAACTGGGAAACCGGGTCCCTCAGTTTTCCCTCGGCCTATTGTTGGGAAAACTGTGCAGTGGAGGATTCCAGCTTGAGACAGGTTGTTCCAGTGGTATACCATGATTACCTGGATGTATTTAGCAAACGTGGGGCCGACACTTTGCCCCCTCATTGACCATATGACTGTCCCATTGACTTACTGCCTGGATCTGAGATCCCTTTTGGTCGCATATTCTCGTTATCTGAGGTGGAGTTGGGGGTACTGAAAGAGTATATTGAAGAGAATCTCCAGAAGAAATTTATTCGCCTTCCACTTCACCGGCAGGGGCGGGTATTTTCTTCGTGGAGAAGAAAGATAAGACTTTAAGGCCTTGTGTTGATTATCGGGAACTGAATCGGGTTACAATTAAAAACCGCTACCCTCTACCACTGGTCCCCGAACTTTTTCAAAGTGTAAGGGCAGCGGCTTGCTTCACTAAGTTGGATCTCCGTGGGGCATACAACTTGGTACGCATCCGAGAAGGGGACGAGTGGAAGACGGCCTTCCGTACTCGGTTTGGCCACTTGAGTATTTGGTCATGCCTTTTGGGCTCTGCAATGCTCCGGCCACCTTCCAGCATTTTGTGAACGATGTCTTTAGGGACTTTCTGGACATTTTTGTCATTGTTTACCTGGATGACATTTTGATATTTTCACCATCCCTAGACACCCATAGAGTCCATGTGATTAAGGTTCTGGAGCGGCTGCGCCTACACGGCCTATATGCCAAGGCCGATAAATGTAGCTTTGAGCAACAGAGCATTTCCTTTCTGGGGTAGATCATCTCCACTGTGGGGATCGCAATGGATCCCCAAAAGGTCTCGGCAATCCTTGAATGGCCGATCCCAACCAATAAAAAAGGCGCGTCCAACGGTTTATTGGGTTCGCCAACTTCTACAGGAAGTTTATTAGGAATTTTTCAGGTCTGGTCTCCCCTATCACACAGTTGACTAAGTCAGGGACCCGCTTCAAATGGACATCAGAAGCTCAGGAAGCATTCAAGACCCTGAAACGATTGTTTACCACCGCCCCCCCATTCTGGGTCACCCGGACACTGCACTACCTTATGTGCTAGAGGTGGATGCATCCGAGAACGAGGTGGGATCAATTTTATCCCAGAGGGAAGGACCAAAAGAATTGTTGCACCCAGTGGCATTCTTCTCCAGGAAACTCACTCCGGCAGAACGCAACTATGACATCGGGGATCGAGAACTATTGGCCATCAAAACCACCCTGGAGGAGTGGAGATACCTGCTGGAAGGAGCGGCTCACCCAATTTTGATTTTTACTGACCATAAGAACCTTGAATACCTGAGAACAGCTAAACGCTTAAGGCCACGCCAAGCCAGGTGGGCTCTTTTCTTCTCATGTTTTTCCTTCCACATCACCTACTGGCCGGGTTCAAAGAACACAAAGCCAGATGCCCTTTCGCGCATGTTTGAGGATCCCAAGGAAGAACTCAGGCCGGATAGCATTCTGTCATCAGGAAACTTTTTGGCGCTCCAAATGGAGCTGCGTGCTAAGCTGCAAGACACATCTGGGACTTGCCCCCCTCTACCAGGAATACCACTCTCCCTCGAAGGAGGATTGTTACGAAAGGAGGGATTGATTGTGGTACCGGAAGATGTGCAGACGCAGGTGTTAGGGCACTGTCACGATCACCCAATGGCTGGGCACTTTGGAGTGGCAAAAACGCTGGAGCTGCTTAAATGCACCTTCTGGTGGCCTGACATGAACAAGGATTGCAAACGCTACGTAAAGTCTTGTGCGATTTGCCAGAGGAATAAGCCAACCAGAAATAAGGCTTGGGGGCTGCTACGCCCACTACCCATTCCTGCTCGATGCTGGCAGATGATAGCAATGGATTTTATAGTGGAACTACCCCCGTCCCAGGGCCATACGACAATCTTCGTTATTGTGGACCGTCTGTCAAAGATGGCCCATTTTGCACCCCTGAAAGGTACCCCATCAGCTGAAGAGACCGCTCGGATTTTCATCAAAGAAGTGGTCAGATTACATGGGGTTCCAGAAGATGTAGTGTCTGACCGGGGGGGTACAATTTTCCTCTAAGTTTTGGAGAGCCCTATGCAAGGCTCTGGGCATTAAGCTCTCACTTTCCTCCGCCTTTCATCCACAAACCAACGGACAGACGGAAAGAACCAACTAGACGTTGGAACAGTACCTGAGGTGTTACACATCGTTTTTACAGACTGGCTAACCCTCTTGCCCTTAGCAGAATTTGCTTTCAATAATGCAAACCAGTCCGCCACAGGGCAATCGCCATTTTTTGTGAATTACGGATTCCACCCCA